GCGGGGCGGGGGAACGGGGAGGAGGTGGGATGCTGGGCGGGATGCGGGGCGGGGGAACGGGGAGGAGGTGGGATGCTGGGCGGGATGCGGGGCGGGGGAACGGAGAGGAGGTGGGATGCTGGGCGGGATGCGGGGCGGTGTCGCCGCAGGCACTTTAAAGCAGCGGAGCCGGCGGGCGCGGCGTGGCGGCGGCATGGCCGAGGTGAAGGTGGCCGTGCTGGGCGGGAGCGGAGCCGGCAAGTCGGGTAAGGGGGAAACCCAGGGAGCCCCCGGCCGTGGCTGTGCCTCGGGTTTGGTGCAGGGGGCGGCGCGATCCCGCTAAACCTGCCGTGTGCTTCCCTCCCTCAGCGCTGGCCGTGCGGTTCCTGACCCGGCGGTTCATCGGGGAATACGCGTCCAACGCCGGTGAGCGCCGCGGGATGGAGGGAGGGCAGGAGGGCGACCTGGGGGGATCTGCTCGGGGTTCCCCCCGGGGAGCGCAAGATGCGACGCTTCGAGCACTTATTTGATCGGATAATCGGGTGAAAGCGCGGCTTCGCAGAACTTTTTCGGGAGGGTTTAAGTTTCCGCTCGGTTATCAGCGAGAAGTCCTGATTAAGCGTAAGCTCTGAGGAGGGAAAAGGACGAGCGGGGTGTCTGTGCAGGGATCTCCCCGAACTGCAGAGCCCGCGGCTGGCGAGGCGCTCCCGGGGAAGGGAGGATAACGGGACTGCGAGTGGGAAGTCAGGGTGGGTTATAGTCAGCTTAATTAGAGAGGAGATGAATAAAGGAGACAGACTAGGTAAAAAAAAAACCAAACCCGCCCCAAACCTGTTCTACTGAATATCTGCTCTTCGGCTCCAGAGGGGAGGTGGAAAGATTGTTTATCGGGCACTGGTGCTGAGTCAAAGCGTAGTGCGAAACCCCCAGCGAAGCAGGAATGCGCTGGCTGGATTGCTTTGTGGAAAGTCTCGCTGTACCGAGGACAGAAGGTCACACTCGTGCCAGAACGTTGATCCTTAAGACACTTCTAAGGTCTTGGGAGCTGGCAGAGAAGGACTCAAACTTTCACATCCCGGGTAGAATTGCTGTTTAACTGATAAACAAACAACTTCGGAAGTGTGCTGCCACCCCAGCTGATGAGGATGAAAAGTCACAAAACTTAATATGTCAGAGAGATTGCCATCTACCTCACTTTCCCTGCTGAAGTGAGGGAATCTTTCCACACTTTTTTTTTTCATGGGGATAAGAGTAGCTTCCAGTGATCCATAAATAAAAAAGAAAATAGAAGTACTAAACTGAATTGGATTAAATATATCCAAATTAACTTATTTTGAAGGAAAAGTTACAGTTGTATATATATGCTCTACCAATACTTGTTACTATACAAACACAGACTGAAGACAGTTTGTGTCCCAGCTGGCTGATCTAGGTCTGAGCTGTCACATGGAAGTTGAATAGTGCTCTCTGTGCTCCTTGTGTGTGCTAAGCCACCTACAACTAAAACCAGGTTTCCCTGTTCTGAGCCTCCAGTACTGGAAGGCTCAGAAAAGGCATGTCAAACCCCCAGAACATTTTCATTTGTTAACAAATGTTTGTTGGAAGATAAGTTTAGCACTATTCCTAGAGAGGAGGAAGGGGAGGGAAGTGGGAATAGAGGTGGTAAAGATCATACCACTGTATGTGGAGTCAAAACATTAACTAAAATTTTGTTTAATTATGGAAACAATCATAATTAAACAAGGGCTGCAGATTTTATATTCTGAGATGCTTGGGACTGACAGTTCATCATCAGATGAACTCTTACGATGGGCATGAAGAATGCTTAAGATTAACATGATCCTGAGATGAAGATGCCGAATTCCAGAGATTATAGACCTACCCCTCATTACAAAGTTTTAAGTGGATTTTCTGTAGGGCAAATACCAGTTCATGTCTCTGTGGTTCAGACACTGAGAAGTTATACTGCAGAAAGCCTGTTGACAGCTAGTAATGAACACAAACTGGTCACACTTGCTTAGAACAGCCTGCCAATGAAAGGAATAGTGATGGTCTGTCTGCAACAGTGTTCCCAGTGTTGCTGGTGCTGGTGGAGAGTCCTAAATCTGAGAACTGACACTACAGAAATATTTTTGGACTAAATCCTAAGGACTTGATCCTGTAAATACTGTAGGTCTAATGCTGCCTTCTATGAGAACTGTTAAAGCATCAGATGTCATGGTAAATAAATAGTATTTCTCATTAATGGCTTTTGTGCAGAATCAAAACTACAGATAGTCTGGCTGACTACTTTCATAATCCTGAGCCTTAGTATCAAGCTGAATGATCCTGAACACTTAGTTGATTCTGAGCATTGTGCATCCCCATTCCTTTCATTTTGGAAGAGGAAGGCTATGATCTGAAATTATTCATCAAACTTTGATGGGAGCACCAAATTGAAATGGTGTTGGTCTGCCTAAGGGGTTGGTTGTTGTAAAATGAAATATATTTGTTTCCAGTGTGTATTGAAAAAAAGAAAAAGCAAACAGCCAGTCAACAACACTACAAAACCCCCCACACCTGCAAAATAATAATAAAAAAACCCAAAACCACATCAAACAAAAAAAGCCTCTAACCCTGAAAACCCCAACAAAGCCAAACTCCCCACCCTACTTGCAAAAGAAACAAATCACAGACAAAACCCCTTGAAAAAACAACCAAACCAAACAGTACTCATGTAACCCTCAGTATTATTCAATTTCAATATTGCTGCCTTTTCTTTTCACTGTCATCCCAAGTCACTAACACCGATTTTCTTTGGATACTGTCTATCTTTTAGAATGCATCTACACTAAACACTTGTGCCTGGATGGGAGGCAGATACACCTGGAAATTTATGACCCTTGTTCACAGGTAAGAATTGGTGGGAGGGAGGCAAAGAAAGGCTGTTCTTCATTCTATCTGTGTATATGGTAAAAAAGGGTTGAGGGGTTACAAAATTCTTGCCTGCTGTTGGAATTTGTCCTTGCTGGTTTTCTTTTAACAACTGAAATTTTATAGTTGCTGTGGCTCAGACCTGCTGAGTACTTTCCAATTTCATAGAAGAAGCCCTTCATTGTTTAGATTTTTTGTAAATGCTTTTTCATTGTGGAATATTGCTAGCAGAAATAACTTTTACCACTTTTGCCTTACATAGGTAAACACAGATATAAGCTACTGGATTACATGCAGTTTTCTCAAATACCCTAAATGGGTGAAATTTTACATAGTTTATAGTTTACAAAGCAAGTAGTTTACTGAATGTCTGCAGAAGTAGTCAAAGTAGACATTGCTGCTCCTCTTGTTAGCACTCTCTGAGCTGTCTTGTACTAGTTTTTGCTGAGGAACAAGGCCTAACTTTAGCCATTTGCTGCTTTCTTCCCAACTTCCTAGTGCCTGCATAGGAGTAGGTAACAGATAGAGGCAGTATTGCCTATCTCTGATAGGACTAGATGGATTTTGGAGGTCCTGTACCTAATGGGAGCTGGGGAAGAAAAGCAGGTCTCAAGAGGAGATTAGAATGGGGAAGGAAGAGATGCCATTTTTGTTTCTGCTTCTTGAAATCTTCCTGCTCTCTGAGGTTTTCCTCTAGTAGCTGGATTCATGTTGTACAAAGCTCGCTGTCCTTTCATCCATTGAGAAACAGCTGTGACACACACACAAGTCACATTTCCCACCCCTGAATGTGCTGTACAGTCCCCACAGCATTGAAAAAACTGTTGTGTTAAAGATGCTGAAGTCTTCAG